GACAAATCCCCCCGGCAGAGCCTGGTGGGAGAGGCCGTTTTGAAGGGCTCCCCGGCGCAGGAAGGCAGCGGGGAGGAAAAGGCCCGGAGATGCCCCCAGAGGAGGGGCTGCAAAGCCAGCCCAGGGAGCTGTGAGGAGGAAAGAGCCGTCCTGTGCCGGGAAGGCGGCCGGAGCTTGAGCCGGAGCTCCAAGCTGGTGGTCCCTGAGCAGCCTCCCAGCAGGGAGAAGCCCTTCAGGTGCTTGGAATGTGGGAAGAGCTTCAGGCTGAGCACCCACCTCCTCACCCACCAGCACATCCACACTGGGGAACGGCCCTACACATGTAGGGAATGTGGGAAAAGCTTCAGGCAGAGCTCCAACCTGATCCGACACCAGCACATCCACACTGGGGAACGGCCCTACCAGTGTGGTGAATGTGGGAAGAGCTTCATGCAGAGTGCCCACCTCCACACCCACCAGCGCATCCACACTGGGGAACGGCCCTACAAGTGCTTGCAATGTGGGAAGAGGTTTCAGAGCAGCTCCAATCTCCTCCTGCATGAGCGGATACACACAGAGGAGAGGCCCTTCCGCTGCACCGACTGCGGGAAGGGCTTCAAACACAACTCCCACCTCATCAGGCACCGGCGCATCCACACCGGGGAGAGGCCCTACAAGTGTGGGGAGTGTGGGAAAAGCTTCACCTGGAGCTGTTCCCTGACCCAACACCAACGGACCCACCAGTAAGAAAAGCCCTCCGAGTGCCCCAACTGCGGGAAGAGCTTCGACCGCTGCTCCCACCCCGAATGACCCCCCTGATGGTGAGGCAACCCCTGGAGTCCAGTGACTGTCAGTCCATCCCTTTCTACCAGAAAGGGCCAGTCCCCTTTGCCAGGGGCAGGTTGTGCCAACAGAACCCTTCTTGGGGGGTGTGTGGAGATTCCTGCCTTGGCTGGGGACCCCCCAAGGTCAGTGCTGGAGGTTGAGAGCAGAGATCTCCCCACGAGCGTTGGTCTGGAGGAGTTCCATTCCTCTCTAATTCATAATTCTTGCTTTGGTGCCAACTTGAGTAGAATTGCTTCAACAATGGCTTTAGTGTAGAGCACTGTCCTATCTTATGCTGTCCTACTGGTAGTTTTAGTGTTTCTATTGTGCAGTAAAGCATTGTGATGACGATCTTTTGTCTGGTCATTTGTAACCCTAAAGAATTCATTTCTATCACTAGATGTGATTTACCGTGATTAAAACCTGGGGGACAAAAGTGGTTCAGTCCCACCTCTGTAATTCCTCTAAACTGAACCTGTTGGCATAACCGAAGGCTGAGATTGGATCCAGCAGCCCTCAGCACCCCACAGTAAGGTGGGAGCTCAAGGTACCACCTCCTTTACCACCCCCTTGTGCCCAAAGACCCTCATGGGACTGTCAGACCTGCCAGACGACCCCCCTTTTCCACCGTTTTCCCTGTTCTTTCCACTTTTCCATGGTCCCCTCAATCCACAGTCCCCTCAGGATCACTCTGGGCATCCCAACCCCCACATTTTTCCCCTCCTCTCCCATGACTTCCACATCATCCCCCCAGTCCCCAGCCCCCTCATGGTCAATTTGGGGGTTCCTCCCTGCCCTTTCCCCACTCTTCTCA